AGGATTAGCCAATTTTAAACCTCTTAAAAGCCTACCCCGATTTTTACCCTTAGGAGCCAAGTTTGAGCCTTAGCCTTTTCTTGATTAAATAACCATAATATAAACCAATCAACCTCTTTATTTGATACATAACCCCTGTTTGAACCTAAGTCAAGAATTTTATTCATGTCTAATTAATTGAGATTCCGATTTTGTTGAAGAAATTACAAAAATGGTTGTTGTCCCGATGCTTGTAATTCACTAGTGCATGTTTCTAGCTGTAATTAGTATGCTTAAAAAAAGAAGAAGAAAAAGAAAAAGAAAAGGAAGAGAAAGAAACAAAAAAAAAGCGAGTAGTAGAACGGAAAAGAAAGAAATAATAGAGGAAACATATTGGGATTAGCAACTTAGGAAAAATAAAAAGTGAGCATGTAATGCTTGAGGAAGTCGGAATTTAAAGGTTGAAATTTATGTAGGATTCTTGACTTGTTTAGACCAAATTAGCCTTCACCAAACCTCACCCACAACCCCATTTCACCCTATCATAAGACCTTTTGATTTTTGCATTTGATTCAATACTTAGTAGTGAAGACATGATAGCTTGGCAAGCTTATGGTTAGGATTCTTACGTGCATTGACTTGAGAGTGACAAATACATTCACCCTAAACACTATGAGCGTTTTTGAGAGAATTCTTAGTGAGGGTGATGAATTTGGCTGCATTTCTAGTCTAAAGCGATGGTTGGGGGTTCGTTATGCATGACTTTGGAAAGTATGGATTTTCTATATCAAGTGCCTTGTTTTTGTCTTGTTTTTTTTTTCAACTCTTTGAGGATTTATGTTCGATGCATGAAAAGACTGGTTGATACGGAATGAGGGGTTCGAATGGTTGGTTTGATGAATCTAGATTCTTGCATGCTTGAGGGCAAGCATGAGCTAAGTGTGGGGGATTTGATAATGCTTAAAACATATGTTTGAATTGCTAAATTCCCCTACATTTTACTATTTTAAGATGTCTAAATGATAAAACTTAAGTGCCTTTTGTATTCTATGTGCTAGGTGTGGAGCCGATTGAAAAATGATGTTAAAAGAGTTATATAAAGAGAATTTGCGATCGAGTCAATTCGGCTACTAGAAAACACAAGAAGCGTGGGCACGTCAAGAATAGAAGCATGGGCATGCAGATACGGCGAGTCATAGAAACACAAGGACATAGAGGCATGAGCACGTTGCAACTTGACGCGGGCACGCTGAAATCTGCAGAAACGGACAACGGACTATAGAAAGAAACAAAACTTGCGTGATTTGCCGGAAAAAGACGCCGACCTACCAAAAGAGGAGAGAATATTATGTACCCTTTTTGAGAAATAGACACCTTGTATAAATGGAAACCTAGCGAGACTAGGGCAAAAGAAAAACTTTAGGTATTATTCTCATAGGAGGCGGCCTTATTTTCTCTCTCTCTCTAGCTATGGTGGTCGCCATGAGCGACTAGACTCTTCTCCTTGGTGAAGGTAATTGAAGCTTTTGGAAACCAAAGATTTTGAGGTGCTTAAACATTAATGTAAATCAGTTTATTTATTTCAAGTATTGAAATTTCTTCTATGCTTATTTTCATGATTATTTGGGTTAATTTCTAATGTGTACGGTTAGTTTATTAGCTTAGATAATCTATAGCTAGATCGAATTTTGAATCCGTAATTGTTCAATCCCTTTGATTTGTGTAGCAACTAGGAGTGTATGGTTTATTGCGTCGAAACTAATGACTCTTAGGAGGATTGTTCAACTAGATTAAATGCAACTACATTGTTGTGTTGTCTTGCTTTGTTGATCTTTCTAATACATAAAGCCATTGTTTGATTAAATCTCGGATCGTATCTAGGGTTGTTAAATAATGAGGGTTGATTAGAATACATGTTTCTAGTTGGCTAATCGTAAGGAAAGATTGATTTCAATATCACAACAAATATTTGAATGGAAATATGATATTTCGTGCACCAAGGATAAATCTCAAGTTCCAAAAGTGGATGTTACCCGAACCAAGGTTCGTTTACTTGATTATTTACTTTAAACTCATTTTCTGAATTTAATTTGTTTAGTTTCAATTATATCTCAATTAAATCAAAACCCCCTTTTTTATTTATTTCATGTTTCTCTAGACTTGTGACGACTAACACGATTGAATTCCTCGTGGGATCGATCCCTACTCTCCCTTACTACATTTATGTTATAGGAGCTTAGGAGTTTAATTTGGGTGCACACGACAGACATAAACAAACTCACACCATTTTGCTTCGTGTCAATTCAAAAAAAGTTTTTGGCCCATTTTTGTCGACGGTGACGTTAAATTGCTCACGTGCTAATTTTAAAAGTATAATTTTAGATCATGTTGATTTGAACCTTGTTGTTTGAGTCATTTTTGTCAAATAATATCTAATTTTGACATTGTCAAGTCGCCTAAAAAAGGTGACTTTTGAGCCGCGTTAGTCCGAATCTTGTTTTGGATCGTTGTTGCGATTTATGATAATTAATTTGATATTGTTCCAATCTTATCAAAAAATGCAATGTTTAAGTTATGTTGATTCGAATCCTATTTTTGGTTTGTTTTTATCAAATTCAACGATTTTATTGATTTCACCCGAAAATCACAATTTTTGAAGTTGGTCTCAATATTGTTTTCGAATCATTTTTGTCAACTTCAATGATTCTTGCCAATTTTGTCAATTTTATCATTTTTTACTATTTTTTTATAGTCTTTGCCAATTTCGTCGATATATCTTTTTTTAACCTATTTGCTTATTTGTCAATTTGCTCGATTTTGCCTATTTTATCTAATTTTCTATTTGCCAAATTGTCAATTTTGCCTAATCTGTCTATTTACCAATTTTGTCAATTTGTCTATTTTTGTCAATTTGTCGATTTTGGTCAATTTTTTCATTTTGCCTATTTTGCATAATTGTTTATTCATTGATTTTTCCAATTTACCTATCTTTCAATTTGCCTATTTAGCCTATTTTGTCTATTTGCCGATTTGTCGATTTTGCCTATTTGTTGATTTACCAATTTTGCTTATTTTGTCAAATTTTCTATTTGCTAATTTTACAGATTTGACTATTTTGTCGTTGTTTGCCTATTTTGCTAATTTGTATATTTTGTCTATTTACCTATTTTTAAGTTTTGTTTTCACACACGTCATTTAAGCCGCATTAGTCATATATCTTTACATTCATCATGTCTTTTCATCTTTAGCTATTCATGACAAAGTGAGGATAAGGTTTCTAACCGGTCAAATCCCAAATTATTCAACTAGGGATAAATAAATAAATAATAGGTATAGACTTTTATCATTAAAAAGATTAAAAATCAAATCCATGTCATATGCAATGCGACTTGCCTTAGGCAATACATGGTAGGGTGATTTTTAATCTTTTCTACCCGTAATAAACCCTTATCTAAAACTCTAAACGGATCAATTATATGGTTTCCTAATAACCATAAGGCGACTCCAATCATTTTTGCCTATTTTTTTGTATTTTCATCCAAAATCGTCATCTCACACAGGGCGACAAGCATGATAAAAAGATATTTTTTTTCCTTTCTCGTCATACATCAAAGTGGATGGTTGCTCCATTTTTAAATGGTTAAATTATATGAAAAACATCCTAAACTATTGTTCAAACTCTCATACTTTCTAGTATTTATGTTTTGGTAAAAATAAACATTTTTTATTATTTCTTAACATTGACTGTACGTGACGGCAAATAATGCCTTGAAAAATTGACAAATTCTTGGGTTGATTAGCTTTTGTGAACCAATTATTTTCTAAAAAATAAATTTTCAGTAATGAAATTTCACGAATTGATGGCGAAGAAGAAGCAACTTCATCACTCCAGCGAATGGCGAAGTATCAATTTGTTGGTTCTTGTTGAGTTCTCTTCACATGCAACGACTATGTTTTCTTCAGTCAGTCATTTTCACAAATGCTCCATTATGTAATCATTTATTTCTTCCTCTGTTTCTTAGGCTTTTGCAGTTCTCGAGTAATTACTAGCATTGCAAGATCAACATTTAATGGGATCTTCGGTTCTAGATTGTATCCATATTGAAAAACCCACATTGCAAATCCAGCCATTGGAAGAAAGCCACTTAAGCGCATTATGTCGCTGTCGCGATGGGGGAAAAAAAATTGTGCATAGAAATGGCTTAAATTTGATGTGGGCATTGAGCATTTTCAGTCTGTTGTTCGCTATTTCAGGTACAAGAATGTGCAAAGATGTAAGTACTCCATCGTTTGAAATAAAGACGTTGTGTACTTGTTTAATACAGAGTGATGTCAGATGCAGTCAACATCAGAGAAATAACAGAAGAGGCTGATTATCTGTCAAATAAGAAAAACTTTATAATATTCACCAACCAACTTATTTTATGATTTTATTTTTTAAAAAAATAAATAAATACATAATCGTATTCGGATCTATAAACACTGGTAAAAAAATTTCTATATTGATTCAATTTTTTTAATTTTTTTCTATTTATTTATTTTTTTTTGTATAAAATAATTTACACTAATTATTCTTTAAGCATTATAAAATTTTTTATTTCTTAAATATTATAAAATTTCTCATCAAAAACTACTATATGTAGTTAAATAAAAAAAAATTAAAGACGATGGATATATGTGAGTTTAATTAATAGTTTAAAATCTTTTCATTCAATTTAACGTTTTTAAATCCCATGGAGAATTGAAGTCCGAAACATCAATGCAAGTAAAATTCCACACATGTAACTAGTAGTTTTCTTCTCATGTAGTTTTTCCAGATCATAACATACATTTCATTATTGAATGTAGATATAAACATTCAATTTGAAGTTCACACTCAAACATCAAACAAACCTATAGCAATTTGAATGAACTACTAGAGTAGAAGCAATACAAAATTCCACACATGTAACTAGTAGCCTAGTACTCCACTCATATACTACACTAGAAATAACTCTGGACCTACCCGCAGCTAGCCACGGTCAAATCTTTTGAATGAGAATCTGTACACCATCCCCGGGGACTACGATCATTTTATAAGCAGGAGAATGGTGATACTTTGGAGACAAGGAGAAACTAAACTTGGAAACAATAAGGGAAAGGACAACCTTCAATTCAACCATTGCAAAGTTCTTGCCCAAACACAAGCGAGGGCCAACCCCAAATGGAATGTAAGCTTGAGGGAAGGTGCAAGCTTTGGAGACACCCCAAGTGAACCTCTCAGGTTTAAACTCATTAGCATCCGATCCCCAAATTTCAGGATCCCTATGCAATGTTGGTATCAACGTCCACAAACATACACCTTTTGGAACAATAATGTTTCCAAGTTGGGTTTCTTCAAGCGCCTCTCTTGATATAAATGCTGCTGGTGGGTACAGACGAAGGGCTTCTTGAATCACCATTGTCACCTGAAAGCAGAAGTATACATATATGTGTAAGTGCTAGCTTGTTGTTGCTTTAATTTGTTTTCTTTTGGAGATTGAAACTCGCTAAATTTAATTTCGATGATTAATATATACCGTTTTCAAAAGGAGGAGTGAATCAGCAGATATCGAGCCATCCTTGCATACTTCAGCTAGTTCTTTCCTGATACCAACTTGCCACTCTGGATGTAAAGCAAGAAGCATCAAACACCAGGAGGCAGCAACAGCCGTTGATTCATGACCAGCAAAGTATATAGTCTTGCAATTATCAACTATGAAGCTCTTGGATGCATCCTTGCCAAGACTTTGATCATTGATGGCACCTTCAAGTAATAACTGCATTAAATCCTTTTCTGATGAACATGTCTCTTGACATTCCTGTCTACGTTCTTTCACTGCTTCCCAAATCAGTGACTCAACCTCTCTCTCCAAATTGCTGATCTTGTTTTGCTTCTTTAGTGGCAAGAATCTGTTTCAACATTCGTAAGTCAAGATACATTGCCTGACAACATATATGTTTTGGGCTGGGAAGCCATTCATTCTTTTGAATTTAGTGTTAATTTTGTCCATAGTTGCATAATCATTCAAAGGTAATCAAGGAAAAGAAGATTCAAATTTTATGTTAATTTTTTTTCTGAATTGATAAGGTATAGAGTCATAATGATAGTGCCACAACACATACTGGTTTTGGCACAAATTTTTGTATTTAGCCCTCTATGCAAGAATATGGTGACTCGAAATGTTCTAAGTGGTAGTGTGGTACCTCTGTAGCTTCTTCTTTTTTCAGGAGAGGTTATATGTTCAAGAACCAGATTATAAAAAAAAAAAAAAAAAAAGAACTTGAACCAAATAAAGTAAAACAGGAATAGGTCCAATTGACCTATTTTTGGGTCACAAATTGGAAAAAAAAATGAGAAGAGAGAAGGTGGTGGCCGGTCAGTGGGGAAGAACAACCAATTATTCAATTGCCACGTAGACTTTGTAACCAGTAAATTCCATAAAAAAGAAAAGAAAAAAAATGTTAAAGAAAAAAGGCAGCAAGTTGAGACAAGCATACCCAAAATTAGTAACCCCAAAAAGGATGCTCTGATTGGCAAATGTTTGTTGAATGCTCCTGAGCTTAGAAAAAATCAGTTTGCCCTTAAAATAAGAGCTACCAAAACAAGCCCTCGAGATGACATCTGCTGAGAGTTCTCTCAAATCCTCATCTACTTCAACATCTGCTGTGATGCCACCTTGGGCTGCAATGCACTCCTCCCATTTCTTCAGCAATGGCTGTGCTGACTCCACCATTAGCCCCACCATTCCCTGAAAGCTAACACATCAATTCATGGCCCCAACCATGTTGTTGTTTTGACATTATGGAATTTAATATGGCCACAAGATTATATATTCTAAGGAACTCTAACAAGTAACACCTGCCTGGCTAATGGGCTGTTGATAGTTAGCTAGTAATATATAATTTGTTACCTTGACCTTGTCCATGTAGAACTCAGGTGCAACAATTTTCCTTTGTTGAGCCCAAACAAGGCCGTTTGACCTCACAATGCCATTTCCTAGCAAAGGTGCCACTCTCTTGGTTAAGTAGGAAGGTTTGCCTAAATCCAAAGTAATCATCTGGTTCATTTCCTTCACTAGCTCCGGCTGATTCACATACAAGTGTTGCCTCAATCCTGTTGAATACGTGTATACTGTCCCTGCATTAATTCCATAATAAAAAAGAGTTCTAATTAAATTGGTACCGTTGAAAACAAAAGATGCAATGTTCCTTAGTGAAAGATGCACATATACACACATGTAACTAAAAACATATTTTGAAATGTTCTTCTTCCTCTTGTTTTTTTTTTCGTCGAGAGAGAGAGAGAGAGAGAGAGAATAATTGAAATGGAGAAAAATCATGTTCATTAAAACAAGAATGAGTGAGCGTCCCCCATATCTTAGCAGTAATAAACCATCCAAGTTCAATTATTAAATGGGCCAGGTTCGAACCAGAAAATTTTGGACTTGTTCTGCATCGCCAGCTTTCAAATTAAATGAATAACTAAATATTAAAAAAAAAAAAAAAAAAAATGAGTCCCCGCAATTGGATTTTACTAGTACACCGATCATTGCAGATCACCATATACAGTTGGCATATAATGTAATTATTATTTTATTATTATATTGTAAATCACAAACTATTTCATGTCATTATCAAGCCATATATACTCAATATATGTGACAAAATCAAGAATCTTATGCAAAAATTGTATGCCTACTTTAATTAGTACTATGGCTGAAGCCATCCTGAAGTCTATTTGCTTCATATATAGTCATAAAACACCAAGTGTGCTTTTTAGGAAATTAATTGACTAGTTTTATCATGATCGATGTACAAGAAAATGATCATTTTCTTATATAAAAAATGAACATATCACAAAAATTATCTAGTATATTCCCAGATTAAGTATATATCTCTTCCCTCACATTTACTGTTTACGATGATTTGTACTAATAGATCGTGTTAGAGATGAAGCACTTCAAGAACTAATACTGGTTCCACTAATTTTTTGAAATGAAGTGTGAAAGGAACTATATGTGTGTGTGTGTATGATTATCATAATTACGTTTTTGTTAAAAATACAGTACATGGCAATTTCATGAGTTGCAATGGTTAAACCAACACTTGTGCACAGAGGGACACATATATATATCATCGTTCTCCATTATGATGCATCATGCAACTGCCCGTACCCCATGATTGGAACAAGGGAACATATATCGATCAGCAGATAAAATTATATGTATATATAGTAAGCTAGACAAGAGTTAAGAGGAGAGAGATTTTTATACCGTATTCTTTTCTCCACCGTTCAAAATATGGGAAGACTGTGGAAGTATAGTCATGGGCTACGAAATCTGCAGCTTGATTATTACTGGAAGCTTTGATTGTGTTTAATTGGATTTTCTGCATCTCGGGGAGATTCCCATATAGGAAAGATGGTGTTGGCCCTTCTATGCCTTGCATTCTAAGCTTCCTCTTGATCCTCTCTGACTTTAGCAAGATAGTGTTATAGAGATGAAGCAAGAAGAAAACCAGTGCAAGAAGGGTTAAAGAAGAAACTAATATTCCCAAGCTAGGAGAGACCTCCATTTCTTCCTCTTCAATGCGGCAGCTAGCTAGGACAAACTTCGCTTATATATTGCTCAGCCTAGTTATACATACATGTGTGTTTATATATAAATATGGACATCATGCGTGCAACCCACTTTCCCCTCATGTGTATATATATATATTACTTGCTTGTTTTAATGATTGGCTTGTAAGACATGAGATAATACTAAAGCCTCTCTTGCACATTGGGTCATTGCATTTGGTCAAACACAAAGAGCACCAAGTTATATTATTGCACTATATTAGATTATCTATGACTGAAAATTTTTAGTCAATCTTTGATAGCTAGCATTAAGAGACGTGTCATTCTTTAAGTTATTGGGATAGATGATCTATATGTTGTTGCCTTGAGATAGGGTGGTTATTCGGTTTTTAGGTTAGGTTTTCAGTTAATTAAATTTGAAAAACAAAAATTAAATCTGAATCAAATTATTAATTATTCAATTTTTTGGTTTGATTTTTTCAATTTAAACTGATTTTTTTATTGAATATTTTTTCCAATTCTTTTTAAAAATTTTAAAATTATATAAATAGTATAAAAAAAAGACTATTCTTCCATCATATATCTACAAAATTTGATTTTCAATGTAAATCAAACTAGAAATTCTAAAAATCAAATTGAATTAAAAAACCAAAATTATTTCATTCAGTTTAATTTTTTCTTTATTTAAATCAAATAGTGATCATCTCTACCATGAATATATAATGGGGAGAAACTTGAATTTATAAGCAACTAAAGTAATACCTTATTATCAATTAAATTTTAAATTTTTTGATTTTATCAATTTCTGCTCAAACCTAGTTGAATTTAAACAGTATCAACCTTCCATCCATCCATTGTTAGTGATATTTAAAAGATTATATCAAACTTGCACATGATCATTACGTGTTTTCATCCAAATGTGAGAATAAGATCCAATATGCTCTAAAAGACAATTTTATGTCAAATTATAGTAAATCCCTTCACTTCCTCTTTAATGCAAGCTAGCTATATATGAAGAGAGATTTATTATAATTTTACACTAAAATCATTCTTTTATGATAAAATTGAGCTTATTTTGATGTTTTAAATGGAAACACTTGATGAGCATGTATAAATTGGACTAAATCCTTAAAATTGTCATTAATATAGGATTGATCTATGAGTTACATTGTTTTACTTTAAACACAGAATTTCAAAATATTTTTTTTCACACACATATATATAAACCTACTTTTAATTTAGCATCCTTGTTTAAGAAATCTATTCTCTTTTGTAAACATAGTTTTTGGATGTGTATTAAAAATTAAGAGCAGTTGGATCGAATTATCAAACCATAACCAATAATCAAATTTGTCAAATCATTTACATAGGATTTAATTCACCAATATAGCACAAACAAATAATTTTAAATAATTGATAATTTATAAACACTATTGAATAAGAAGTCCATTTCTTATTATACCGAATCACTATGAGTGTTCAACCCTTTCTAGCTTTGATTCGAGAATTAAAAAATGAAGGGAAAAAAAAACTACATTGTGAAATATCAAGTAATGTACTCTTTAAACTAAAACATATGTATATTTATTTGATAATTTATAAACATTATTGAATTATAAGTCCATTTCTTATTATGCCGAATCACTTTGAGTGTTAAACCCTTTCTAGCTTTGATTTGTGTGTGTGTGTTTGTGTTGGGGGGAGAACCTTATAACTCAGGTAATATAAATTATGAAATATCAAGTAACGTACTCTTTAAACTAGAACATATGTATTCTTAGTTGATAATCAATTGTATAAGAAAGAAGGAGAATTGTTTGCAATGTGCTCACTTGGATTTATGAACAGTTATAAAAAAAAATTTATGTTAACTCAATTTTTTTAATATTTTTTCTTTTATGTTAATCTTTTTTATGATGTATGTTAAAATCATTGTTTTTTTATAGTATTATAAAATTTTTAATTTGTAATATACAACACCAAGGAAATAGACATGGGACGATGAGCTACAAATAACGAGCACCATGACAAAGGCATTTTTATACTTTATCATTTTGGCCTGGCTATATGATTGGACATAATGGCTGACCTGTCCCCGATCGTCAATGGCAGAATGAGAAGGGTGGATGGTGATGAAAGGATGTGTTTGCTACGGTAGATAGATAGGATGGGGCAAGTGAAACTGAATTGGATATAACAAGACAGAAGTAAACTGAACAATGGATGAGATAGAATTGGATAAATACATATTTTTGTTCTGAATTTCGTACACCGGACTGGACAAGAATGGATGAAGCTTTTGCAAAAAAGCATTTTCGTTCCATAATTTTTTCCAATAATTTATTTTAGTTCCTTTTTTTTTTTTGACATTTTAGTCCTTATTCAAAAAAAATATATATATATATTTTTTTGTTCAATATGCACATCAAATATTGCATAATTTGTCTTATCATGTATGATATGTACATCAAATACTGCATAAGTTGTCATATAGAATTCAATCATATCTTGTTTAATATATTAAATATATTTTAAGTAAATTATGCAAGGTGAGGGAGAGCGAAAGAGTCTTATCATGTTTGATCAATACATCAAATACTGTACAAGTTGTCATATGAAATTTAATCATGTCCTATCTATCTAGTATACTAAATACATTTTAAGTAAATTATACAAGGTTTGAAGGGGGCATCTCCTCCTCCTTTTTTTTTTTTTTTAAATTACTGTGAATGAAAATATCAACCACATGATAAAGACGAAACACCTAGCTTAGGACATATCCTAATCATGATCTCGTATGAAAGCAACTTTGCTGATGCATGCTATCTAGTAATTATATTGAGTAAATTATAAATTTGTCCCTCTAGTTTTACAAAATAAATTAAATAGCTCCTTTTGTTTCTAAAACAAGTTAATTAATTTTTCTATCAATGTTATCATGATTAATTAAATACTATTTTATTTTAAAACATATCTTCTTTTCTAATTAATTAATCTATATTTTTTTTACTTATTTTTTCTTTTTTCTATTTAAAAAAATAAATTAAAAAAGTTACATATAGATTTAAAAACATAGGGATTAATTAATTAATTTTTTAAACAAAAAAGACTCTCTAATTTATTTTGCAAACTAAATGGACTAATTTGTAATTCATTCTAATACATGTGATAGTAACTTATATCCATTTACGTGGTAGCAATTCAAAGTTCATATTATGGTTAAGAAATGTGTTTTTTCTTTAGTCATCAAAATTTAAACCTCATGTTAGATTGTAAAAGTAAAATTTTCATAAATTTTTTAATCTGGAGATGAATAACATGTGTTTTATTCTACTTGAAAGATGGATTACATTTGAGTGAGTAAATTATAAGTTAGTCCCTCTTGTTTAGAAAAATAAATTAATTAGTTTTTTTAAAAAATAATTATTTAATTATTTTAACTAATATTGATCTCGCCTAATTTAATATTTTTTTATTTTATAAAATATCTTTTTTTCATCAAAATTTTTCATATTTTTATTCTTTTTCTGTTTATAAAAAATAAAATAAATAGAAAAATAAAAAAAAGATTAAATAATTATTTTTTAAACTAGAAGGATTAATTAATTCATTTGTCAAAGAGAGAGGGAACAATTTATAATTTACTCCATCTGAGTGGACCGCAACTAGTAGTTCGAAGATACCGGAAAATATATATATATATATATTATTATCTAGCTAATGTAGCATCTTACTATAACCACTATCCTTTAATGCTGATTGAGATTTGAAGTCTATAAAGTAGAGTGGGTCCTATCGGCTTTTTAGAGAGAATCCTACTCGTAGCCCCACAGGCGAGTTTCTACAATATACAGAATGAATGATGATTTGTCCGTTTCGAATGTGGGTCAACTTGAATACAACACCTATATTGAGTAAATGCTTTTGAAAGGAAAAAAACACCCAAATTTGACCTACTTTAACCAATAAAATAAGAAACTTTACCTTTTACAGACATAGTCAAACAAGTCAGAGGTAAAAAAAAAAAAAAAAAAAAATCATAAAAATAGGATAATCCCCTTGTTTATGTTTGGGATTCTAGAGAAAGGAAAAACAAAAACTATCTAAAGGCATTATAGAAATGTCTGTAGAGATTTCAAATTAAGATTTCAATTATAACATGTGGGTTGTTGGTTTCTTGAAATTGACGGTAGTGTGGATAATTGTGTTGATGAAGTACAAATAGTGAAAATGGCAATCTTCTCCACATGGGATCATTTAATGCCGACAATTTTAGTCAAAGTCATCTTGTTTTTATGATAAAAATAACTCAGTGGTCTCTCTCTCTCTCTCTCTCTCTTTCATTTCCGTCCTAATGAGCAATGAATAATGAATTATGGGTGGTCCTGAAACAACTAAACAAGGAATAGGAGGGTGAGAGGTCCTAGAGGCAGTGCTTTATCACAAGGACCCCCACAAGTCATGCTAATTAGCTAGATTTCAAAATTAGTCAGCCTAGCTAGTAGTAGCCAGCAGGACGAAGAAAGCCAGATTGATAGGACCACACTGCACACGTTGAGTTTTAAGTCTTATATTGTATGTTTTATTTATGAGGTGTGGAACTACTTCTTAAACTGCTTTGAACTCATATATATGTCCCCAGTAGAAGTGGGCTATGTCTACGTACAATAATTAATAAAGCAGCGGTCTAGATTGCACGAGTAGAATGTTGATAGCTACTAACATCAACGGATTTTGAATTATTCAAATCTAGTGATTCCAATTAACATTGACATTGCAATAATGTTAAGTTATCAACTTCATAGAAATTAAATGCGGTAACCGACCGATATATAAAATGAATTCTCATTCTATTCGATTTAATAAATAATAATTAAAAATATTTAATAAATATCAAAATAAATAAATGTAAAAATAATACATATTTGTTAATATATAACTTCAGAGTATAAATATTTGTTTTATGTTTTATTAATAATTATTAATTTTTTTAAAA